TTAAGAGCAAATATACAATATGCCAGACTGTTCCCCACTACTCCGCTATTTGACTTACTGCGTAACAGTAGTGTAACTGGGGTGTGGGAGTGGGGTGGGGGGCAGAAATAGCAGCTGCCACAGGTGATTCCCCATGTGCTGCTACTGCCAGGACATATAGCTACCCTGTTATGGCTCTGCTTTATGATGTACTTAATATTGCTGTTAAGCAGCTGTAACTGTAATAAGCAGTATAACATGCTTTACAGACAAGGCAAAGAATGCCATCTAGTGGCATGTGGGAGCATGGAATCCTCTAATTCCAACTAGTTCTATAAAATTATTCTCCTGCAGGTTTTGATTGCTGCATTTAAGAAGGAATCTGTTCTCAGTAGATGTGTCCACACAAGATACTTAACTGCACAGTAAAATAGTTTACTATGCAGTAAGAATGTGCATCTACACATGGACATGCTTACTATGTAGTAAATCTCGCTAATCATGAGTAAATTTGTGCCTGTAAAATCACATGCCCCCAGATTTGTGCATGGGGGGGTGGGTGCTGGCTGCCCACTGTGGGGTCAGGGCTTCCTGCCCTGTTGCCCTCTCCTTGGGGCCTCCATGGCCCAGCAGGTGAGACCTGGTGCAGCAGGGCAGAGTGGGGTAGGGAAGCTCGATGTCACTGCTGTGGGCCCTGTGCCACCCTGTCGAGGTGCCCCCTGCCCACCTGGCAGCAGCAAGGGCACAACCCCGCACCACCACTGTCACTGCTGCAGGGCAGGCAGGGGGCATGTTGCCAGGGAGGCACTTGGCTTGTGGTGGTGGCACCATATTTCCCTGCCTGGCTCTGCTCTGCCCTGCTCTGCCAGATCTTGCCAGCTGGGCCGTGGAGGCCCTGGGGTGAGAGCAGCAGGGTGGGGAGCCTGAACCTGCAGTGGGCAGCTCACATCTGCGCCCTGTATGGGCTCCACTCTGGCTGTGCCACCCACAGGGGAGGGGGAGCTGGGCTCTGCACTCCATTCCACTCTGCCACAGCAGCTGCCTCCTGTGGGCTGGGTAGCTGTGGGTGGGGAGTGAGGAGCACCAGCGTGGGGGGGCAGGATGTGTGTGGGGAGTGACAGATTTGGGGGGTTTTAATCAGAGAATTTGTGTGTATTTATCAGAGAATTTACAACTTTAAACAGATAAAACCAGGATCCCTGGTCATGAGAAGCTGCATTTAAACTACATAGGACAGTGATTCCCAAACTCTGACAGATTGCGCACCACCAATTTAAAATGACCACTAACTTTAAGTACCACCGGCAATTGTTTTGACAGATAAAGTCATTGTAATACATCTGTTAATGCATACCACTGATGGGTTTTCTGTGTACCACTGGTGGTACCCGTACTACAAATTGGGAACTGCTGACATAAGAGATGCAGGTGGCTCCCACGATACTTTTTGGCCACCCCTGATATATACTGATATATGAATCTTTTAATTCCCAATTTTTTTCCTCTAGATTTCCAGTAAATCATTGAACAAATCCAGGGTCTATTATTACAAGCAAAGGTTACTTTTAAATGAAAGTGAATCTGAATCTGCCTCGTGTGGTGGTGCTTCATCTTTTCACCTAACTCTAGGCACTCCTGTTTTCCTTCTAGGCAGTGTTCCCTCTAAAGTGTGCGCCATGTGTGACCATGCACATGCACTCATACCGCGCTGCCAGGTACGTCTGCGCGGCCACACGCACCACGTAGCTTAGAGGGAATCCTGGTTTTAGGAGGGTCTATTTCAAGGCCCAGTGATTATCTGGATCATGGTGGTGAAACATTCTTGTCTCTGTACCAATAAATAAGGTTCAGTAGCTTGCGTGGCAGAATGTGAGGTGCTTTGTAGAGGCAGTTCCATTTCTTATGCACTAGACAATTACTAGTTGTAGCTCTGCATTTATGCTTGTGGGAGCTTCTAAGTTATTGCTTCTGTATGTTTGTATGAATGTAAGTGCACAGTACAAAGAAATGGCATGCCTCAAATAGAAGTCATTTGTGCAGCCCACTACGTTTCTCCACTGGATGTTCTAATCTGGGTGGATAATGAATGCTACTCTTTGATATGAGCAACACAGTCAGTAAAATAAATAGTGGAAGGTATTATGATGTACACAAATGGAAACCAAGAACATACCCTTTGGAGGTCAGCTTGTGGAGGCAGTTAAGTCAAGGGACATGGTCATCATGGGTGACCTAAACTACCTGGACATCTGCTGGGAGGAGCAGTCACCCAGGTCTGACTGCTCATGTAGGTTCCTAGCTGAGATACAGGACCTCCACCTTACCCAGGAGGTGCACTATCCCACCAGGGGAAATGCCATGCTGAACCTGGTCCTGGCCACAGGTGACAACCTGGTGAGGGGACTGCGGGTTCTCGACCACCTGGGTGATGGTGATCATTGCCTACTAGAATTCACCATCCAGCACAGAGTGTCAAAGGTCTGCAGCAAGGCAGTAGCCCTTGACTTCAGGAGGGATGATTTCAGTGAGCTAAGGAGACTAGTTGAGGAGGCACTGAGGTCCCAGAGGGTAGGGGAGTTGGCAAGCCAAGATAAGTGGTTGTTCCTTAAGGAGACAATCCTCTGAGCTCAGCTCAAAGGGTGACAGTCCCAATGCAAACCAAAGGGGGAAAGAGTGCTCAAAAGCCTCCATGGCTCACCAAAGGCATTCAGGAACATCTGAAAGCTAAAAAGGAGGCGTACACTCAGTGGAAGGGAGGGGCCATCACCAAGGAGGATTATACCTCTGTTGCTCAAGACTGTAGGGGGGCTGTTAGGAAGGCCAAGGTGGAGACAGAACTAGGACTAGCGACCAGGATCAAAGATAACAAGAAGTCCTTTTTTTTTTAATACATAGGGAGTAAAAAGAAGGCACCGGGTAACGTGGGGCCCCTGAGCACATGCTTGGCAACCTGGTGATTGTACCAGACGATAAAGCTGACCTATTTAACAAATTCTTTGCCTCCATTTTTCTGAGCAGGGACTGGGACATGCCCCCCACCAGGATTCCGGATGGACTCAGGAGAGGCACTGCCAGGCCTAGGGTCAGAAAGGACCTAATTAGGGAACTTCTGGTGGGGCTGGATGTGTTTAAATCAGCAGGTCCAGATGATCTCCACCCCAGCGTGCTGAGGGAATTGGCAGGGATCATTGCGGGACCCGTGGCATGGCTTTACGAGCACTCGTGGTGCTTTGGCCAGGTGCCAGAGGACTGGAAAAAGGCAATGTGGTCCCCATTTTCAAAAAAGGGAGGAAGGAGGACCCAGGAAACTATAGGCCTCTTAGTCTTACCTCGGTCCTGGGGTAGCTCTTTGAGAAAATTATCCAGGAGCACATCTGCAAGGGACTGGCAGGGGAGATTATGCTTAGGGGCAACCAACATGGGTTCATTAGGGGCAGGTCCTGTCAGACCAACCTGGTTGCCTTTTACAATTAGGTCACAAAATATTTAGATGCAGGTGTTGCGGTGGCTGTAGTCTTTCTGGACTTTAGGAGGGCCTTCTACACTGTCTCTCAACCCATTCTCATCAAAAAATTAGGTGACTGTGGCGTTGATGCCTACCCAGTCAGATGGGTCACAAATTGGCCAGAGGGCTGCACCCAGAGAGTAGTGGTGGATGGGTCATTTTTGACCTGGAGGGATGTGGGCAGTGGGATCCCCCAGGGCTCTTTCCTCGTGCCCGCACTGTTCAACATCTTCATCAGTGACTTGGACAAGGGGGTGAAAAGTACCTTGTTCAAATTCACAGATGACACTAAGATGTGAGGAGAGGTGAGCATGATAGAAGGCAGGGACAGGCTACAACTAGATCTGGACAGGTTACAGGGGCGGGTGGATGAGAATAGGATGGGATTCAATACTGACAAGTGCAAGGTACTGCACCTAGGGAGGAAGAACCAGCAGCATACCTATAGGCTGTGGAACTCCCTTCCCATCAACACAGAGGCAGAAAAGGATCTTGGAGACATTATTGATTCCAAGATGAACATGGGCCACCAATGTAAGGACGCGGTCAATAAGGCTAACTGCACCTTGTTATGCATCCACAGATGCATCACGAGCAGGTCCAAGGAGGTGATCCTCCCCTTCTATGCAACATTGTTCAGGCCACAGTTGGAGTACTGCATCCAGTTCTGGGCACTGCACTTCAGGAGGGATGTGGACAGTATTGACAGGGTCCAAAGGAGGGCCACTTGCATGGTTAGGGGGCAGCAGGGCAGGCCCTACGAGGAGAGGCTAAGGGACCTGAACCTGTTCAGCCTCCACAAGAGAAGGCTGAGAGGGGATCTTGTGGCTGTCTATAAAGTTACCAGGGGGGATCTGTGGGGAATGGGAGAGTCCCTATTCCCCTGAGCACTACCGGGAGTAACTAGACATAACGGCCACAAGTTGATTGAGAGTAGGTTCAGGCTAAATATCAGGAGGCATTACTTCATAGTCAGGGCGACTAGGATCTGGAACCAACTTCCAAGGGAAGTGGTGCTCTCTCCTACCCTGGGGGTCTTCAAAAGGAGGCTAGATAATCACCTAGCTGGGGTTGTTTGACCCTAGCATTCTTTCCTGCCCATGGCAGGGGGTCAGACTTGATGATCTGCTCAGGTCCTTTCCGACCTTACCAACTATGAAACCCCTCTACCTTTTGTTTCATATAATTTGTGCTTGAATCAGGCATACAAGCCTAAATCCTTGTGCTATTATGTTTAGACTATTGCAAATAGTTTAAACTCTGCTTGACTTCGGAATTATGTTCAGCACTATAGCATAAATGGTAGAAAATGCTTTGTTTGTATTATAACCATTTAGATCTTGCACTGGAGATGGAGGGGGGGGGAAGGAATGATTCCTAACAAGCTATTTTTTTCTATTCTTAAGCTTGTTGTCAAATCAATTACTTTGCCTATAATAGTTTTTTCTTTATATATCACAGAATCAGAGGACTGGAAGGGACCTGCAAGATCATCAAGTCTGGTCCCCTGCCATAGGTAGATGGTTATTGGGCTCAAACGAGCTCAACAAGGTGCTTATCCAGCCTCCTGTTGAACACCTCCAGGGATGGTGACTGCACCACTTCTGCTGGGAGTGTGTTCTAGATTCTAGTTACCCTTAAGGGAAATAAATTTTTTCTTATGTCCAGCCTAAATTTTCCCTCAATTATCTTGTGCCCATTGGTCCTCATCCTCTCAAGGGGTGCATTCCTGAAGAGTTGATCCCCTAGATGTTGGTCCTCACCCCGATGTACTTGCAGGAGGCTATGAAGTCAACTCTTAGCCTTCTCTTACTCAGACTGAACAGGCCCAATTCCCAGAGTCTCTCCTCATAGGGCCTGCCCTCCAGACCCCTAATCATATGGGCGCCCCTTCTCTGTACTCTCTCAAGATTATTCACATTGTGAGTGGGATGGCCAATCTTATCCTCAGCTCTCCTTTTTACTTTCCTGCCACGACTTGGATAAAAAAGGGAAAAGGAAGGAGGTTAATATTTTTAGCTGTTCTTGGATAGATTAATGCCACTTTGATGTTAAATGCTCACAGTGTAAGTTTTATTTCTGGCTTAACAGTGCTGAAATAACAATGTTCTTGCCAATTACTTCATTGGCAAAGTAGGCAGTGTTACAATCAAGAGTCCTTCAGATTAGTTACTTTGTATACACTGGGCAGAGATTCTTCACTGCTAATTACCTCATTAGCGGCACACGCCTACAGCTTCTCTCATTCTCTGCATGTGCATGATCCAGAAGGTAGTCTCCTGCCATTTTCTCCTCTCACCTGGATTTCCTGCTTCCAGTTTCCACATTTCCACTGGAATCCAGTCTTGGGGTTAACCCCAGTCCCCTTTTGTCTTGGTGAGGAGCACAATTTCTCCTCCTTAGAGGTCCTGGGGGAATTTGCTGCCTGGCACTTCAGACTCTCCCCCCAACTCACTGGCACAGCGGGAGTTGCCAGCAGAGCCAGGCTTTTTGCCATGTCACTTGGGGATCTGCCACCAAGCATTTCAGGCTCCCCTGCCCTCACTGGCACACCGGGGATCACCAGGAGGGCAAGCCTCTTTGTCACTGACCTGCCATGCCTCTCAGGGATCTGCCACCCAGTGTCTCTGCTCTTCCCGCCTTTGTTAATATGACAAGGTTCTCGGGAAGGCAAACTTTTGTCACTGACCTGCCACATATTTCAGGAGCCTCCCTCTTCTTGGAGTTCTTTCTTCTTCCCAGTAGGTTTCCCTTTCTCTGAGAGTGTCACCACTCCTCGCTCTTCCTCCTGGTTCCCAAAGGCAAAAGTTCTTTTCCCCGCTGCCATTTTTATCCTCGGTTCAGCAGGCTAATCACCTGGTTCTCTCCCAGGTGTGCAATCCCTCCCACCTGGCAGGGTTCATCGTCAAGTCAATCTGACCTGACCTTGTCTAAGTAACAGGGCTCTGGCCTGAGTCCCTGTTACACACATCTTTCCTGAAGTGCAGTGGCCAGAACTGGACACAGTAATCCAGCTGTGGCCTCACCAATGCCAAATAGAGAGGGAGAAGCACCTCCCTGGATCTACTGGCAACACAGCAGCTGATGCACACCAGAGTTCTGTTTATTCTGTTGGTGACTTCATCGCACTGTTGGCTCACGTTCATCTTCTGGTCGGTTGTGACCTCCAGGTCCTGTTCAGATGCTGTGCCATCCATCATGTAGTTATGGTGAAGGTTCTTCCTACCTAGATGAAGAACCCTATCACTTTTCCCTGTTAAATCTCATCTGATTCTGTTCAGCCTATAGAACCAGTCTGTCAAGGTCATCCTGGATCCTTACTCTATCCTCTGATGCGCCTGCATTTCCCCATAGCTGGGTATCATCCACAAACTTAATCATTGAGCTTCCCACACCCTCATCCAAGTAATGGATAAATGTGTTAAAGAGCATGAGTCCAAGCACTGATCCCTAGGGGACACTAAGCCAGTGTCTGGGATTGGCCTTTAAGCCAGCTGTCCACCCACCTCACTGTAGACTGGTCCAGCCCAGTACCCTCCAATTTAATTGAGAGAATCTCATGGGAAACAGAGTCAAAGGCTTTATGGAAGTCAAAGTAAATGATATAAACATCATGTCCCTTGTCCAGTTGGTTAGTTACCTGGTCATTAAAGGACACCAGGTTTGTCAGGCATAATCTACCCTTGACAAAGCCATGCTGGTTGCTTCTTAATATCCCACCAGTTACAAGCTTGTAATTGATGGCCTCCTTAACAGTTTTTTCCCAGGACTATAGTCAGACTGACCAGTCTATAGTTTGCAGGGTCACCCCTCTTCCCTTTCTTAAAGATAGGTACCATGTTGGCTGTCTTCCAGTCATTTGGGACCACTCCCGAGTCCCACGACTCTTCAAACAGCTATAGTTCTTTCAGGACTCTTGGATGCAGGTCATCTGGCCCAGCAGACTTGAAAACATCCAAAAGTTCCATATATTCAGCGAATCATTTGTTGAGGCAAGCTACAGTCTGTAGATTATCCATCACTTCAGCACTGATTGTTCAATTTTGGTTCTGTATGACTGGCTACTAAGGAGACTCAGGGCACTGAGTGCTCCAGTGTGTACTAGTTGTACAATGTGTACAACTCACTGTGTTGTGAGTCTGCTGGAGTGTGCTGATTGGCGTGCTGCAGCAGCCTCTGTGTGACAAGTGTTCAGTGTCCCCATGTTTCAAAATGCAGCAGAGGTGCTTTAACCAAAGCTTGTCAAATGAGCTTTAGTTAAAGTGCCCCCAATGCCATTTTGAAGCACTGGATGCTGAATACATGTGACACTGTGGGCGCTTTAATTAGAACAGATCTGAGAGCTGTTCTAATTAAAGTGCCCCCATCTTCTCTGTAGCAGGCAAATTGAGTTATGCTAAGCCTTTTTAGCCAGGTCAGGCTTCCCTGGAACTAAGCAACAAAATTTGAACAGAGTGCCTTATGTGGCACTGGGAGATGTGAGTGCTGTGATTGGGCACTGGGCGAGCAGGGCACAACAGTTTCCCTATAACAAATGTAGCTGGCACAGTGTCAGGGGATTGGTGCATCATATAAGGAATGCTTGGCACAGAGCCAGGGGATTGGACAATTTGGGATGAGAAAAGTTACAAAAGTGATGGACAAACAAAGGAACATGTGTATTTTTGTGTTGTCACCCTGGGGAGACAGGAGCAACTTTGGAATTCTTGTTTGAGCAATGGGACTTCCAGAAACTAAATTCCCATACACCAAGCAAAGGATCTGTGGTTGGTACCAGCAAAGGTCACTGCTGTAACATCTGAAGGAACCATTTGCCAGGTCATATTATGAGGAGGAAGCCTGTAATAAAGATTAGGGATTGCTATTAAAATTTACTTGATACCAAATCAGATAAGGGGCTGTATCAGTCCTTCTGGAGCTCTGTTAAAAAGAATCCTAGTATGGAAGCGGGGGCACTCTAACTAAAGCTGTTCAAATGAGCTTTAGTTAAAGTGTCCCTGCTGCCATTTTGAAGTGCTGGATGCTGAATACATGTGACACTGTGGGCACTTTAATTAGAGCAGGTCTGAGAGATACTCTAATTAAAGTGCCCCCACCCCCTCCACTCTGGAGCACATGTATGGACGCTCTCATGTGTTTGTTTTCTGTTCCCTGATTTGGTTTACCTTCAGCTATTTTTGTTTGTGCTCTGGCAGCTCAGGTGGGATTTGACTTAGTGAAAAAGGTCTCGTGCATTCTTTATTTAAAAAAGGGTGTGCAGGTGGTCAAGCAGAACCATTTCAGGTTGGCAGAATTTGAACGAGTATTTGCACACAGTGGGCGTATCTACGCATGAGCTTTAATGCACATTAGTTTGTTTTAATGAACATTATAGCAACATAGAAAGTGCATTTTTGCTAATGCACATTAAAATAGGCTAATGTGCCTTTTTCTAATTCCTCTAATGGAGCGCACTTTTACATGTGCTCTGAGGATATGGGGGCAGGGAGGGGGGAGGGGGCAGGGTACAGTGCTTTAATTATAGTGGCTCTGAGATCCGCTCTAATTAAAGCGCTGCCAGGTTTAAAGTATCAATGTCCACATGCTTAAAAATGGTGGTGGGGGACAGTTGAACTAAAGCTCATTGAATGAATTTTAGTTCAAGTGATCCACCACTATTTTTAAGCTGGGGGACTCTGATACACGAGGTGTAGGAGACTGCTGAAGCATGGCAATTACTGTGCTCCAGCAGACTCAGTTAATCCAGTCTGCTCCAATGCACTGGAATTCTGTGTGTCAGAGCAGCCTCCATGCCCATGTACAGGCACCAGAGGCACTAAATTTAATGCACATTAGCAAAAGTGCATTAATAAATGTGTAGATGCATCCTGTGCTTTTATATATAAAATCACTCCTACTTTCTAATTGTGTTTACCTCAGGCTCAGTTCATGTTACAGAAGTAGGATGAGAAAAGTAAAATTTCTCTTAAAGAAATATAGTTTCATAGTTAGTAGGGTCGGAAGGGACCTGAGCAGATCATCAAGTCCAACCCCCTGCCATGGCAGGAAAGAGTACTGGGGTAAAATGACCCCAGCAAGGTGATTGTCTAGCCTCTTCTTAAAGACCCCCAGGGTAGGAGCCAGCACTACTTCGCTTGGAAGTTGGTTCCAGATCCTAGCTGCCCTGACAGTGAAGTAGCGCTTCCTGATGTCTAATCTGAATTTACCCTCTGCCAGCTTGTGACCATTATTTCTAGTCACTCCTGGTAGTGCTTGGGGGAACAGGGACTCCCCCAATGCCTGCTGGTCCCCTCTGACTAGTTTGTAACAGGCTACTAGATTCCCCCTCAGCCTTCTCCTGTGGAGGCTGAACAGGTTCAGGTCCCATAGCCTCTCCTCGTAGGGCCTGCCCTGCTACCCCCTGATCATGTGAGTGGCCCTCCTCTGGACCCTCTCCATGTTATCCACATCCCTCTTGAAGTGCGGTGCCCAGAATTGAACACAGTACTCTAGCTGCGGCCTGATCAGTGCCACATAGAGGGGGAGTATCACCTCCTTGGACCTGCTTGAGA